TCCAAGACAGCAAAGGACCCCTTTGATTTGATCTAACTATCCCACTTTAGAACTCACTACTAAATCATTTTATGGCTTTTGATATGGTTTGGCTGTGTCCCCACCCAAATCTCATCTTGAATTCTCATGTGTTGTGGGAGGTAATTGAATCATTAGGGGCAGGTCTTTCCCATGCTGTTCTCATGACAGTGAATAAGTCTCATGAGATCTGATGGTTTTAAAAAGGGGAGTTTCCCTGCACAAGCTCTCTTCTCTTGTCTGCTGTGATGTGAGATGTGCCTTTTGCCTTCTGCCATGATTGTGAGGCCTCTCCAGCCACATGCAACTGTAAGTCCAATAAACTTCTTTCTTTTGTAAATTGCCCAGTCTCTGAGATATCTTTATCAGGAGTGTGAAAACAAACTAATATAGCTTTCAAGTAATTCTCTTGGTTGTTGATCACACTATGTTTATGTGACTACCTACCTCAATACACATTAAAATCTTGTTTCTTTCTTATCATTTCTGATTGTTTGTAAAGCTCCTTTCTCCCACTCCTAAGCAAAACCTATTCCCCTTTCAAGAGTGAGCTCCTAGCTCATTGTATTTTAGAGTTATCTGATCTTGTCTCCAGTTTCTCTCTCCACAATGATGTTCTATAGCATTTACTGTCTAAAACATTCATTTGTGTTTTTAATTATGTTGAATTTTATTAGCATCATGTAACTCAGAAATACAGATTTATTTATTTATTTTTGGATTTGAATCTTTTTTCTACTACTCATGTCCCTGTGGCCTTGGCCAAGTTACTTCTCTAAATTCAAGCTTCCTGAATCTGTTACATAGATTCAGAATGATACTGATCTTGTATGGTCATCATGAGGATTCGTATTCATATATAGCATATAGCTCCTGGAATACATAATATTCTTGCTAAGTAGGAGATAGTAATAGCAGTGCTATTAACTGGTGATATTATTTTCAATAACCTGTTCTCCCTGGCTTTGCTTGAAAGAATTATTAGCTATTTCTACATCAGTGATTTCTGTGGATCGTATTTTAGAGTTGCTCAGGTAGGAAGCAGTTGGGTCAAAAGCTAAACAAACTTTTGATTCAGGAATCTTATCTTAAAATTAGACTTTGTTTTCTTAATCCATGATATAATGCTGTGTAATGGCTCTTTAACTGGCAGCTATATAGGCAATTTCTCTATAGGATGCCTGAGACTTAGAAGAATTGGTGTTAATTATAAGACAGAAAGATGTGGATTAAGAAAAATTCTACTCAGACTTCAGCTCATGGTTGAACTTGGTATCATGATAACAAGAGGTCAAGTTACCTTGAATTAGGGTGCCTTCTGATTTTCCTGCTGTAGAGGAGGACTTCATATCTTTTGGAAGAATGCATGCAGGGTTTTCAGAGGTGACATGACTATCACTGTGTCACGTAGTTTATAAATGTTAAACCAGACCATCTCAAGTCTTTCAGATGTGAAGAAAATTCTTTCATTTGCTTTTTCCAATAGTCAAAACAGGAAATTAATTGTATTGAATTGAAAATCTAGAGGAATGTCAAGGAACACGATGTACTTAACCAGTGCACTGGATGGCACAATGAATCTGTGCCCAGGAGATAACCTATGGCCTAAAGAATGAATCTGTTTGAGAAGTAGAAATCTGTTAGGTTCTGGGAGACTCCTTATAAACATGGAAGGATTGAATTGCTGAACTTCAAATGGTTGTCACCTCTAGTTACTCCCTTCTGAATGCATCCTAAAATATCTTATTTCTGTTAGTTGCACAATGGCTGGTTCTTCACCCACAGAGTGTTTAATGGATAGATTTATGGACTTGGGTAATAAACTGAATCAGGGCCATCTCATTGTGTACACAGATTACTCCACTTGGCCTGAAATCAAAACCTCCCTATTCTTAGTCAACAGCTAAGAACATCAGGTAAGTTTATGTTTCAGCATCTTAGGCCCTTGTTACATGTTTTGTTTGAAACTTAAAACTCTTTTTTTTTTCATTTCAGAGATAATTTCCCAAGAGATTTGTGTAGTTATGGATTCAAAAGAAGATAACAAACATGTAGGTCATCTTCTTGAAGAAGTGCTAAAAAGTGAATTAAATGTAAGTATTCAAAGACTGCTTTTGATAAATTTTGATTGCCAAAAACTTTTATAGCATAAAGATATCTTTCTTGGAAAAAACCATAAAAATCCTTTAATTGTAATGTTCTTATTATTTTGCCTCGATGAGATCCTTTGGTCTGCCAGCAGTTGGGATCTGAAACATACTCTGTCACCCTTTTCATTCCTTTTGCGGATTTTCTTCCAGTCTCCATGTGTGATGTCCTTTAGGAAGCCCTGCCTGATGCCTGCACTCCCCAGAATAAGGCTGAGACTTGTCTTAAGAGGCATGGTGGCCAGCACATGCTAGATGCTTAGTAAAGTTTGTAGACTCTATGAAGATTAGAGAGATTAAGAAGAGGGAGGGGGAAAATAAGAGGCATGATGACAAAAGGTGAAATAATCATGATTTTGGAAAAGCGAGTGAATGTGAAGTGACCAACTTCATAGTTAAACTCATATCTAATATTAGGGCTAGGAAAATAGAAGATGCAATAAGTGTGAGGGTGTCTATAGGAACTTTTTATAATTTTACCACCAAGCACTGCCATTAATCATTTTTATGACAACTTTCAAGCATTTTATTGCCAAACTTATTTTTGTATATTTTAATTAATTACCCTGTTTTCATTAAAATATATAACTTCTAATCAGAGTTTATGTTAAACATGGGATGACCTTTTAACATCGTACATAATTCTCATCAAAAGCAGAGGGTAAAAGTTCATTTTAGCTTTGTAATTTTTTCTTTTTTTTTTGAGATGGAGTCTCACTCTGTCACGAGGCTGGAGTGCAGTGGTGCGATCTCAGCTCACTGCAACCTCCATCTTCTGGGTTCAAGTGATTCTTCTGCCTCAGCCTCCACCACACCCATTAGCTGTGTAATTTTATCATGATAGTGCAGTTGGAAAGAGAACAGGCTCTGATATCAGACTGCTTATATTTTGGATGTCCGCTCTATTTCCTAATTTCCTTGTCTGTACATTGAAAATGTTAATAACATCTACGTTCTAAAGTTGCTGGGTGAGTTGAATAAAATGAATATATTTAAAGTGCTTAGAGAAGCATCTGGCATGCAGTACATTTTCAATGAATTTGAACTATAATTAAACTTTCAATGATAAGTTGACAGAGTGGTGTGACAGTATTAGATAGTACAGACTGTTAGTTCTCATACTTTAGTGCTATATAGATACATGAGTTGTTAAAATTAACAAATTAACCAGTGTCTTCTACCTCCTCCTTTCTGAAGAATCTAATTTGAATTAGTATGCTTTAACTTAAAGTTTATAGCTGAAAGATGACAGTGAACTTTCTACTGTATATATTCTTACATTCATGTCATTACCTACTATACTCTCTCCCTCAAACCATTATTCTTAGTCATATAAGTAAATATATATGTAATAGTCACTACAAATCCTTATGTTGATATCTTAAAAATCATTTCGGTTTTCTGGAACGAATCCTCCAATAGATGTTCTAGTGAGGGCTCATGGGCACAATATTCCCAAGTTCTTCCATGTGAATAAAATTATTCTTTTGCTCAAAATCTTCAAGGTGGTTTTGGCTAGATTAAAAACAATCTTGATTCAGTAATTTTTTGTTGAGTGTCTTCAATATGCCAATCTATTTTCTTTTGTCATAAAGTATTTTGGTCAAGTGTGATGAAAATCTGACTTTCTTTGTCTTATAAGTGATTTAGTCTGTTTGCCTGGATGCTCAAATAATTCTTTTCCTTTAAAGTCCATTTGTTTTACTACAGGTTCCTTAATTATGGTCATTTTGGCTGATATTGCTAGGTACATAGTAGATTCTTCTGTGTAGTTTCAAATATTTTTGTATGACATTATTTCTTCAGTATTTTCTGTTTGGTTACTTCAGTTTTCTTCAGAGATTCCTGTTGCCTGAAGCTTACATGTTCTTTGGCCATCTACAGCTATTACCTTCTCTTGAGTTTTTCTAATCTCTTAATTTCTTCTTAATTTTCTTACTTTCCATCTTTTATTTCTGTTCAGTCATTACCTTTTGTGTTTTTTTCTAATTTAGTCTTCATTTCTGAAATATTTTTTAAATTTTTTCTCTTCTCATCACCTTGTTTCTAAGTTATTCCAAGTCTGACTTTTATAGTTGTCATTTTCTTAATTTCTTTTAGCTTATTAAATATTGGGTTACAGTATTTATTTACTTTATGACTGGGTGTTTCTGATGTGCATGTGTTTCCTGTAGGGATATTATTTTGCTTTTTAGTCTTTTCTTTTTCTTTCTTTCTGTCATTAATATATCAAATAATATATATATTTTTGAGACAGGGTCTTGCTCTGTCACCCAGGGTGCAGTGCACTGCTACTATCATGGCTCACTGTAGCCTTGGCCTTGGCCTCCTGGGCTCAAGCGATCCTCCCACCTCATCTTCCAGAGTAGCTGGGACCACAGGCACACACTGCAATGCCCAGCTAATTTTTTTTTTTTTTCCTTTTTGTAGAGAGAGGAGTCTCCATATCTTGCCCAGGCTGGTCTCAAACTCCTGGCCTCAAGTGATCCTCTCACGTTGGCCTCCCAAAGGGCAGAAATACAGGCATGGCTGCTGCACCTAGCCCTATTGTTCCTTTTTAAGTAAAAGAGCTTTCTCTAGTTTTAGGAGGAAGGGATGAGTCAAAATAACACCTCTGTGGCCGTGCTTTGCCTGTACTTTGCCTTTCCTTTGTTCCTAGTGCACCTCTTTTGGTCCATCTAGACTTCTCAGGTTGGTGCTTTAACATACTAGGGTGCTTCTGTTTATTGGTTTTGAATGTGCTTTGGACCCATACCCCCAGATATCCCTAGCAGAGAACCTTCATGTGGCTTCTTTGTTCTCAACTTTGAATTAAAGCCTACAAAGGATTTATCCCTTGGGAAAGGGATTTATCTATCTACAAAGGATTTATCCCTTGGGAAAGGGAAAAATCCTCCCTTGGGAAAGGATTTATCTAGTTTTATATACTTTTTCTCTTCTCTTATAAAGGTAAATTTATCTCATGACATTTTTCAGCTAGTTTTTGTTGCTATTCCCAGAATGGAATGGCCTGCTAAGGTATCCAGAAAGTATCTGATGATGATTTTGTTGCTTTCTGTCTTTCTTGATTTACTCCCATTTTTTCCTACAGTTTCTTAAACTGTGTGTGTCTTTATATGTGCTACCAATTTATCCCTACCCACTAATATTATTTTTTTTAGACACCGTTTCACTCTGTTGCCCAGGCTGGAGTGCAGTGGCATGATCTCAGCTCATCACAACGTACGCCTCCCAGGTTCAAATGATTCTCGTGCCTCAGCCTCCCAAATATTGGTTTTATAGTAGATAATGTCTGTAGGTTTTTGGTTTTGATCTCCTCCTTGCCTTTTCTGTTTTTATGAAGGGTCTGCAGAGATTCAAAGACTAAAATGATATTTCTAGGGTTCCAGAATCTTTTCCCCCTTTATTCTTTGTGTGCTCTCCTGGCCATTTATAATTTTTAAAGAGCACTTACATTTCTCTTTTAATTTCAAATATTGAATTCGTCTATAAATATAGATAGACATAGCAAATTTGGAATTTTTAAAAAATTAGGTTTGACTTGAAGTTAGGGATTTCCTTCATATAATAAAACTAAGAAGTATTCATATATTCAAAAGTAAGAAAATCACCGCTCCTCAAAAATTTATTAATTGTAATATCTTCCTTTTTGGAGATAAATTAGACTTTTTATTTATTTTTAATGAGTAGCTAATGTAGAACTTCTAAAACTGAACTTTGGATGTCCTGTTATTTTACTCAGAGAATCTTGGTTCACCTTGAAAGGAGATATCATTCCTGCTAAGCCTTCCCTGGCTTCTAATTTGGTTAAAAAGAATTAAAAGTTTAAAAACCTGTTATACCACACAGACTTAAGAGAATGCTTTCTCTTAGAAACAGCCATAACAGGCTGGATGCGGTGGCTCATGCCTGTAATCCCAGCACTTTGGGAGGCCGAGGCGGGCAGATCATGAGGGGAGGAGATCGAGACCATCCTGGCTTAACACGGTGAAACGCCGTCTCTATTAAGAATATAAAAAATTAGCTGGGCGTGGTGGTGGGCGCCTGTAGTCCCAGCTACTTGGGAGGCTGAGGCAGGAGAACGGCATGAACCCGGGAGGCAGAGCTTGCAGTGAGCTGAGATCACACCACTGCACTCCAGCCTGGGTGAGAGAGAGAGACTCCATCTCAAAAAATTAAATTAAATTAAATTAAATTAAATTAAATTAAAATTTTTTAAAAAAGAAAAAGAAACAGTCACAACACTGATTATGGAGTGTCAGGAGTACTACTGAAATGGGTAGTTTCCCTGACACCTTCATAGGACTGGCTAAGGGGTTGGCTCATTAACCTCTTAACCTCTCATGGGATGGGGGGAGCATGCAGGTGAGCAGGTAGAGGGGCCAGGACAAGTGCTTCTGGGCACGCTGGCAGGAATAGAACTTCATGTGGCTCCATGACAGCATCTAGTGGGGTATCCATGACCCCTGAAGCCCCAGAAGACATGTGTTACATTGTGCTCTTTTACCTTTGCTCTCTACAAACAGCTTAAATGTTTAACAGCTCAGTGGAGGGTCAGGATGACAGCCTTTTGCACCAGCCCTCTTGGTACCAGAGTTCTTGTTCGGCATCTGGGAGGAATCAGGCCGCATGAGTTAATTGAAGGGTGGTGAATGTGGAGGATTTTATTGAGGAGTGGAAGTGGCTTTCAGTGGGATGGGGTGCTGGAAAGGGGATGGAGTGGAAAGGTGGTCTTCCCCTGGAGTTTGGCTGTCCCCTGCTGAACTCTTCTCTGAGGTCCTACTGTCAAGCTGTCCTTCTGAAATCTCACCTTCAAGCTGTCCCTCTGAAGTCAAACTGCTTCTTTTTGACAGCTACTGCTTCTCTTCTAGCCTCTTCTGTTCCACTCTGCTGCCCCTCTGACACCACTCTGCTAGTGGAGCCTGGGGTTTTTTATGGGTACAGGA